TATCTAGACACCCATTTGATTTGATTACCAGCAACATTCTCATACAGTCAAATTTGGGATGATAGATGTTGGGCCATTATTATGAACTATGATCGATGATCGATAATTGAGGAAATCTAGGGCCCAGTCAGATGTTTAAGCAACAAAATACAAACTTGCCTGATTGTGCCTTAATACTGCTAGGAAAACAGTGTTAATTACTCCGACAGATTGAATCTTTATTTTATCCAAAGCGACAGCATTTGATAGTATTTCATGCTAGGATGCACTCCTAACATACTATGATTGATAAAACTCTTTCTCCCTTTTCTAATATTTAACATAACCCCATAGTTAAGACTCTAGTTTTAAAGCACATGTTAAACAATTTTAAGAAAGATATATATATATATATATAGAACTAATGCATTTTCTCATTTATTTGATAATTAAGAATTAATTTATGTTCGTGGGATGTAATTTATATTTATTAAACATTATTTTATCATAAGTAAGAAATGAATATAAAAATATCATATCAATCTTCGTATTTTAAAATAGATCTTATAATCACGAGACCAAGAATTTTGTATGTATTTTTCCATCTTAATTAATGACAACAATGAACAATGTATAATTTTTTATTTGTAAGTAGTTAATAATAAATTCAACACAACTAGTACTAGTGCTACCCTAGTGACAAATTTTTTACTGTACTAGAATTTTTTTTAAAAAAAAAGTACAAAAATAAACCTTCCATTAATTTATTTATGAAAGTAAACCATTGTGCATGGTTAGAATTCATTCTCCCGACAATTGAATTCCGACTAGCACAGTAACATAAATTTCACAACTGAACTTAAAAAAGCATTGCATTTTCAAAAGCCTAAATTCTAAACATGAATCCGAAAATCCTAGATTTACAAAAGGATTGAATTTGGCTTGCCGGAATTCGATCCCCAGGGATTCGAATTCTGTGCAGGGATTAAACTTGTTTTTTTTCAGTATTTGTAATATATATATAAATTAAATATTAAAAATAGTTTAAAAATATATTAGAAATATAAGGTAAAATGTAAATAAATAATAATTTTAATAAGTTATATTTATAATAAATTAAAATTTTAATAAGTTTAAAAATT